TGGCAGCTGGAGGAAGGCCCCGACAGAGGACAGCGGCAGAGGACCTCGTCGACCACCCGACCTCGTCGGGTCGACCCGGAGCCCCCAGGCCGTAAGAGCCGGTTGGATATTGGCATATTGCAAGGAAAGCACCGCAGCTGGAGAGACGGGTAAAACAGCAGTTGGCAGCAGCGCAACATGTCGCGTCGGCGGGTCGCTAAGGCGCCCGTTGCGCCACCGGGCCTACACCCAAAACACGGGCAGCGGTCCGGCCGCCCTCCGGACAGCGATCGACCGCCCGTGTCCTTCGGTGGCGGAGGCGCCTTCCCGGCAGCGCCTGCCGGTGGAGGCCCCCGGTCCCCACATTCAGCGCATCCACCGGCAGCGCCTCCCCGGGGGCGCCTCCCCGGGGGCGCCTGCCGATGGAGGCCCCCGGTCCCCACATTCAGCGCATCCACCGGCAGCGCCTCCCCGGGGGCGCCTCCCCGGGGGCGCCTGCCGATGGAGGCCCCCGGTCCCCACACTCAGCCTGCCCTGCTGCGCCCGGGCTGGGGAGGCTTGGCGGCAGCCGCCAGCGCTCCCCGGCGCCACTCCAGGGAAGGGTTGCGTCACCAGGGCCGCACCCCACTCCCACGGCGCCACATGCATCAGTGTGTTGCGCATGACAGCTGGGGGTCCGTAACCCAAATCCCCATACGACCCGGGGGCTCGAGGGGCGCGCAGCGGATGAAGCGTTCGTCCACGGGTTGCTGTCTGGCTGAGTGGGTGAGTCGGTGCTGCCTGGGGAGCGGTCGTAGGGGTGTCCCTGACCGCCGAGCGCTCGGCCAGTTGGCCTGCTGGCCCTGCCTTCCGGTACCCAAAGACCACCTCATGTAACTAATTCTTGCCGCGTTTTAATGTAATAGCTGACCCCTTGTCGCCGGGAGGTAGGGGCGACCGGGCGGAGGGTTGGACGCAAGTCACGCGAGCGGGCGCGGGGAGCAGCATCACCCACAGAACGGCGTGGTGGTTTGCCGGCCCCGCCCCGCGTGCGCGCAGCGCCCCCAAGCTCGCCGGCGCGGCGGGATACCTTGGAGCAAGTGTTGGTGCAGATGCTCCGGGTAGCTGCGTTGCCCTCCGCCTGCAGCAGAGCCCGATTTCGACTCCTGTGGCCGGCCGCAGCAGCTCCCGGGACAGCTGGCTGCCCTGCGTTCGGGAGGGGCTCAGGGAGGGTCAAATTCGGAAACAGGGCCGATGCTTTTTGAAGCTGCTGGGCGCAGTAAATGGTGAAGGACGGCTACTCTTGCAAGGGTGAAGAGGATGGAGACGGGGGGATGAGGGCAGGACACGGAGCGGAGGACCCGAGCGTGTGATTTGACATATGCCTTCTCACGCATAACTTATTGCATGTGCGTGTTCGTGGATGTGAATAGCTAGTGTTCAGTAAGTACTGCGGGGTTAATCTGCAAACAATAACAGGCACCCCCCAAGCATACCTAGCTGCAGCCATGCCATCAGCGCCAGAAGAAACGTGTTGCGAAATTTGCTCATGAGTCAGACCTTTGCCGGCCAGCAGCACTCGACGGCTTGTGCGACCGTTTGAGGCCTGGCTACGGCGCTGAGCTTGCTGCGTCCCAATGCCAAGTTACGTACAACGATGAGATCCAAAGAATGTTAGAGCCCTTCACTTGAGAAACACAGACTTTCGCACGCAGAAAATGCCCGCTGTACGGCGTGTGTTGAGTGTTGAGTGTGTTCGAGTACATAACGGGAATCAATGCAGCTCAACTACAAAGCAACGATCCTTGAAGGATGCTATGTGCCGCATTAGGGCACGCTTGAGCGATGTGACTAGGTTACATCAGCTCATCAGGTCGATTTTCAGGTGTCGCTGTACGAGCTCCCAGGCATGCCACTTTCTTACCCCATTTGACCAAAATCCCCTTTGCCCCTGCCATATACCTCGTCATGTTGAATGTGTTCTGTTTAAAGTTTAAAAGTAAAAAATAAACAGCAATGCCCTCGCTCTCGCTCCTAAACACGCCAACAACTGTTGCACACAACCTTTGCATCAGAAAGAGGGCCTGATGATGATCTTACCAGAACATAATGTTTGTGTTTGCTGCGCGTTTGAAACTATCTACGTCGATGGGTTTTTTTCTCGCCTAGTGCCAGAGCGGCCTGCCTAGTGCTCAACCTACAGTACGAACACGGACCGAACTTGCAAGTCAGCGATCCCTGCCTATTCACGCCCATGAGTGGGCGGCATAGTGATGCTATGTAGCACGAGCGCGCTTACACAGCATTCCCCAGCGACGGCAGAGTCGTTCGGAGGACGGCCACGTGGCCCATGCAACAACGTGCACATGCAAGAGGTCGGCTTCGATGACGCAGATGGCAAGCGGCGACGGAGAAAGTGCGGGGGTCGTCAAGACGTCAACTCGGGCGGCTTCATTAGCTCTGGGCCCGATGGTGGCCAGGGGCGTGAGGCCGTTCGAGAGAGATCAAGGCCCTCGGTGTACGGGCCGCGCCTCGGAACCATTGAAAGGCTACTTGGCACAGGCAAGGCATTGGACCCAAGCCGTGGTATGTATGGGCCGTTTTACACTACCTATCACCTCGGCAAGCCACGGCCGGCAGGCCACGGCCGGCACTACGTACGTACAGCCGTTCGTTGGGAGGGCCAGCCGCCAGCGTCTGTATGGAGCTACACCCCGCAGATGCGACAGTGGTGTATGCTGTGGCGATCCTCTGGGTCCGTCCGCTGTAAATTGACTCATTCAAGTACGGCAACGATCCAAGTGGCAGGCTTTGAAATAGTGGCTGACGTCGGCGGCAAGGTCCGCCGTAGGACGTTAATGCAAATATCCATAGGTCCCGTGTTGGGGCGCGACAGTGTCAGAAGGGCAACGTAAGGGCCGCCGCAAGAACCCCTTGGAACCGGCGTGAAACTTCATGGTAACGCTGACGACGGGTGCCCATGGCCGCGTCACGAATCTGGCGTCACCGGTACGAGGACCGCGCTGGAGGACCGTCATGGCAACTGGCGTCGGCTGATGGAGGGGCAACGTCCGTGTGATTGTTGGTGTTTCGGCCAGAGGGCCACGAACCCGGGGAAGCGGGCCTCTGGGATTGATAGGAAGCCTCATGCGGTCAGCCCTTGCCACAGGACCGCCGCGGCCGCGGACATGCATGAGGCCGTCCACATCACGACTACTAGGGCTGATGCACCACTGTCTTGCAAAATAACAGCTTTCCAACAGCATAATATCGCGGACGACAGGATTCGAACCTATGCGGGAGATCCCATCTGATTTCGAGTCAGACCCCTTAACCACTCGGGCACGACCGCGCCGTACGATACTGCTGTACAAGGATGACAATCGAAGATAAACTGACATATAATAAGAAGATTCGGTCATGGCGGGTGCTTGTGTTTGGTCGGGGGTGCTGGGGAGCTCCCGGTGTGCAGCGTGTACTATGGCGCTAACGGACGGAGGTGTCTGGCATAATTGCGTCGGTGGGACCCTGGGACGCGTGGGTGGGACGCATGGGACGTGTGCAGGCAGCGCCTACACGCTCCAAATGGAGAGGCCCGCCGACTTCGGGGGGAGGGGGGGTCCAGATCTGCCGCAGAGAAGGGACGAAGACGGCGGACGGGGGAGGGGTTGAGGAGTAAGAAAGTGCACATCACACAGCAAGAGCGCACGCCACACAGCACTTCCTTGCGGCCGTTGTCCCAAGCGCTCAGTCCAGGTCTTGGCCAGCTTGGCAAGAGTTTGGGTTTGGGGACAGAAGAATAGGGACGACACACGACAGGGAGGTACCGCGTCAGGCAGGGGGAGTGCAGCGGCGATCCGCACGCTCCTCGGGGGCCTGCGGCCGAACGACGGTGTCCAACCAACGCCCCCTGAGCCCTTAGCCCCTGAGCCCTTAGCCTGGCTTGATCGGTGACACTAAGCCTGGGATGACTCCCTGTCCGCCTTGTATTTGCCGCATCCTGAATAGGGCAGGGTGAAATGGTGCCGGTGGTGGTGGCCTGGCACACCCGTCTTTTCAGGACGCTTCCCAGAGCAGCATTCCGTCAGCTCGCTGCCCTCATACACCCTTGTTAGTGTTGGTCCGAGAGCAATGTTCCAGCAAGCTTTGTGCAAATTCCTTCAGCGGTTGCTCCTAACGTTCGAAGCCATGATACAGCCGTAGCAGAGCAGAGCCACTGCAATCACAGTTTTTTAAGGGATAGCCATATTGATATGCGGCAATTAATGAAATATTGGGAAATGTACTATCTGTTTATTGATTGAGGCAGGCGCGGCCAGGGCAAAACGCCCGGTAGCAGTTACCGTGCGCTCCAACGAGGTGCGACGCTAACCAATATACACCATGTCGCATCTAAACAAATAAATATATATTTATAAAGAAAAACTTGCTTCTTACAAGGATTGTTCTCAACATTTGAGGGCTCATTGTGGATGTGGCTGGCGGGTCGCGTCGGAGGGCCTCGAGTGCCTTGAGGTTCTGTCTTGGGATCGGGCAATCCAAGGTTGACCCTGCCAGCCACAACCTTGCAGCCTTCAACAGCTACGTCCAGCTTCGGATGAAAGGTGTAACGCTCAAGGCGAGCACGAGTACCAACGGCCGCCCGGCCGCATAGGTTCACATGGTTTCACATATGCACGCCAGTGCACACAATTTTCAGTTCCAATTCTGTGCGCTGTACTCGTTACCTGCTGCCAACCCGTGCCTACTCAAAACCTTACCAGCAAAACCAACCCCCGACAGTTTCACCGGCGTCCCTCGAGGGACTTTTTGGAACATCTTATACCATTATTTCTGGTACACCTCACATCCATTCAGCTGACACTGGGGCCACGCGGTCGAGAGCTTAGACCGCTGAGTGAGTGTGAGTGTTGTGAGTCCTTGTCCGCGCAGCTCGTACTTTCGTCCAGAGCCCTGTCTCTCAAACTGGAAAGGTGCTCAAAGTGGCCATGTGCGAATTTACAGCGAAAGAGCATGCGTAGCTGGTGGTAATTGCAAAAGATTGACAGAAGCAGGGTTCGAACCTGCGCCCTTTCGGATCGCGGAGTTTAGCGGATGATGTCCTAAACACGACGCCTTAGACCACTCGGCCATTCTGCCAGATTCGCAGGAAAGGAGGTGCACAATGTGTTAATTAGCAAGTACTAAACATAATTTTGTGTACGGCTACCAGGTGCGCAGCTCCGCAGTTCTCTGGCACGCATGTGCATTCTTCACGTTTCTGGCGCCTGGGACCGCAAGCATATTAGGGTCTCTTGCTTCCTCGCGCGTCTTGCGGGAGATGTGCTGTGCCCTTCCATTTGACGGACCCGGCCCTGGGACTAGGGGAGCTGATATCGTGATATGTGCTTCGGAGCAGCAGCACCTCAGCAGGGCAGGGACAAGGCGTGGCGCTTTCGAGTCCCCATGTACCGGTAACATGATCCTTGATCCATTTCATTTCACTGCGACATTTGAGACAAGGACTTGGTGCAGGGGGCCCTCAGTGCTGCCCTGCGCGCGCCCCATCCGGAATGTGATGCCGACAAGAGGCACCGAGCACCGGTCGCCGGTAGGTGGTGGCGGTGCATGCCTGACCGCGCGCGGGCGCAGGACTGTTGACGTGGGGAGGGCGGAAGGTGGTGGGCGTCGTCGACAAGGCGGTGCGCGTTCCGTTCACAGAGGACGGCAGCGCCAGCCACCGTCATCGCGCGCGGTCAAGTCGGGTCGGGTCGAGTCGGGTCGGTCCACAGGGAAGGCACCCACCCGGCCAGGGACCTCGGGCCCACCTCAATGGGCTGAACCGGGTGGAGTTGAGCATCGGATGGACCGACCGACCGACAGACAGACAGACCGCAGGCCGTTTGACTGATCGCTGTCATGCGCACGTCCCCAGCATGACTGACTGCTACTTGGCAAGGGCCGCATCCGCCCTGCTCGAGGCGCGGTCGGCCATGTGGGTCATGTGCCGCCGGCCGCCAATCATGGCGCTCACGATCCGGGTGCCGCCGTCGCCGCCGCCGCGGCGGCGGCGGAGGCTGCGGCTGCTGCCTGCCGCGCGCCCTGGCGGGCCAGCAGCGCCGCGCCGTAGCACGCCTCGCCTGAGAGGGGCAGTCAAGATGAGAGCGCAGAGTTGGAAACGAAGGCGACGTTGGCGGACGGGGGCGGGGCTGGGGCCGCGAGCAGAGCCAAGCGAGGTGGGGATCGGTCGGTCGGGCGGTCGGGCGGCAAGGCTTTGGCGACGGGCTGTAGGAGCGGCTTGGTTGGCCACGCAACCGATTGGAACGCAGCTAAGGGGACGAGTGCTGCACCAGGCTTGCCCCCAGATTCGATTTCGTCAGGGCGCCGGTTCAATAGGGCGCATAAGGCCCAGAACGCCAGCAGCTCTCCGCGACGACGACGACGACGACGACGACAGGGGGTGATATACGTAAGATGTTGTGTGGCTCACTTGCACGCAGGGTCTCAACTCCTCCCCCCCCCTACGATCCATCTCTGTGGCGGCTTCATACTTTGTTACGGAACCCCCCGTGTAATGAAACCCGCCTGCGGGGCAACTGACACTGACATGGCAGCTGTTCCGTCTTTTACGCCCCACCTACTTTGACCAAACCGCACAACCCGGTCTGCCCTGACCCTTTCGGTGTGTGTGCATGTGCGTGTCCGTGTGCGTGTGCGGTTGCGGTTGCGGCTGCGTATGTGCGGCTGCGTGTGTGCGGCTGCTCACCCTGCTCCGCCGCGCGCACCGGCACCCCCAGCAGCCGCTGCCGTATCGCAGTCCACTTGGGGTTGGCGGCGCCGCCACCGGCCGTCAGGACCTGCAGCCGCGATGCGCGTGTGTGCAGGGGAGGAGTGCGGCGGCCCCCGGTGGGGTGTTTGGGGGTGTTTGGGGGTGTTGCGGGTGGGGGTTGGAAGGGTTCGTGAAAAGTGCGAACCGCAGCGAAGGAAGCAGCGAGGTGGCGGCCTGAGGGCGGGGTGTGTGTTGCAACTTGCAAGAGGATGTCACTCTTGAGCGTGAGGCGAGGGCGAAGCGAGTACCGGTGGTGTATGCAACTGGGAGCCCCCGGTGGGGGGTTATCCACGTATAGGCCGGTGGGGGGGGGCCAGTCTCAGCAGCAGAGAGTCGCCCGGGGAGGCGGTCCCGGGTTTCGATTGGGTGAGTACAGCGTCAATGGCGTCGAGCATGGCTGCCATGCCAGCCAAGGGGGTAAGGGTTTTAGGGTTGTAGAGGTTTTAGGGTAAGGGAGGGAGGAAGTGCAGAGATCACGAGAGGTGGAGTACATGCCGCACCGCAGCCGGCGCTGTTGCCACGACTGCAGGTCACAGGCGGGCGGCAAAGGGTTGCAAGGTTGGAGCGTGCCATGCAAGGAGTCATCCGTGTTTCAAGGTCCGTTCGCCAACGCCGTCTCCGTCCCCATCGCTGCGGTACTCGCTGCGGTATCTTCTTTCTTCAAACGGGGCCCGACCCCGGCCACAGCACCGCACGTCGTTTCTCTCTCTGCACCAGAGAGAGAGAGAGGGAGGGGGAGAGAGAGGGAGGGGGCGAGAAAGAGAGAGCCGCGCGTTTTGCGCACCTGCCGCAGCGGTGACGCCCCCATGGCAGCAAGCCTGCCGTACGCCGCGGCCTCGATCTGCGCAATTCCCTCCAGGAGCCCTGCAGCGATGGTACGACACAGCGACCGGGAGGCGTGTCCGTACAGGCAACGGTGAAAGCGGAAATTGCACAACGCAGCACGGCACGGCGCGGCGCAGCGCAGCGCAGCACGGCATGGCAATTTGTGATGCATTACGAATATACGATACTGGCGAGAAGCGGGCAGGCCTGCACATGCACATGCAGGCCGATGCAGGCGCAACATAGAGCATATCATAGCAGCGTGAAGGGCGAAGGGGAGGTCCCAAGCTCCCAGCCACCATAACCCGCCAACCGCCATAACCATCAACCGCCTGGCCAACAACTCCACCAACACTCCTAACCCACAACTCACTCCCTTGTGTTGCTAAACGCCAACCAACAAACCTTGCAGGAACAGCGCATCGTCCTCGGGTCTCGGGCTCATGCGGGGCTGCAGCTCGGGATCCGCGACGGGGAAGCGCTCGCCAGGGCCGGGCAGCGGGTAGTAGTCGAGACCCGTGGGTCGGTCCGCGTCCAGCCGCGGCGTGAGCTCGCGCAGCTGCTGGTCGTTGAAGAAGCGGCGCAGTACGGCACCGCCGGAGTTGCTGGCGCCGCCCACCAGCCACACATCACCTTTGAACGAGGGTTGGGGGTTAGGCGGTTGGGCGGTTCTGTTTTTGGCGTTGGAGGATTTGGTGGTTGGCGGTTGTCACGACTGTCATTGGTACATTGGTACATCGGTATGGCCTTGAGGGTGTGGGTGGGTGTACGCGTGTACGTGCTTGTTGTGTCGGGGAGGGGGTTGGGGGTTGGGCGGTGGGTCTTTCCTGGGAGGTTTGCAGAATGAGAGCGTGTGAACAGGTCACGAAATGTAGGAGCGAGGATACTCACCTAGCCTGTGGCTGTACACGCCGTACGCCGCGTCGTCCACGCGTGTCGTACTGAGAAGTTTGACCGCCAGCGTTGACCCCAAGCTCGTTACCGCTTGACCGGCCTGCCGGGTCGGGGGAGGGGTTCCCGGGCCGCACGGGACGTCCTTTTCAGCTCTACCGGACAATCCGCGCGTGTGACACCACACACACACAGGGCGTCAGGGCCCGGTCAGATACTGTAACCGCACACACACATACACACACACACACACATACACACACACGTCTAACTCGCTGGGGCCGGCGCGGAGGAAGCCTTTCTGTCGACGGCTTGGTTGCCTTGACCGACCGTCCTGCCACCGAGGAACCACGCTGGGGCTCGCACCTCAGTAGGCCACCGCCACCCCGCCACCCCTCACTCCGCCACGTCGCCGCACCGCCATCCCTCATTACGCCTAGTCCCGACTGCCCTTCTTCACGCCCCTTAAGCCTTAACTCACCCGCGCGCTCCGTCCCATCGCAGCGGTTTCGTCGCTACTACCCCCCCCCCGCGCACCCGCGTCGGGCTGTCCCACCTTGCGCCCCCCTCCAACCGCCAGCCCACCCGCCCCACCTCCGTCACTCCCGCCGCCACGAACGCCGCGATGCTGTCCGTCGTGCCTCCGCACACCAGGCAGCCGGGGGGCAGTCCGCAGGCGGCGGATACGCGGGAGTCCAGGGAGGCCACCGGGGCACCCGGGGCCACCACTCGGGCGGGCAGCAGCGGCGCAAAGCGCTGAGAGGGAGGGAGAGCAGGGAGGGAGGGAGGGAGGGCGGGCGGAAGGGATTGGAGTGGGGAGGGCGGAAGGAAATGGAGTGGGGAGGGCAGGAAGGAAATGGAGTGGGGAGGGCAGGAAGGCATTGGAGTGGGGAGGGCAGGAGGGAGGGAGCGGGAGGGGAGGGAAGGGAGGGAGCGGGAGGGGACCTTGGAAAGCGGGTTGCGGGAGGTGCAGCGGGTGGAATGAGGGAGGGAAGGGGCAGGGTCGAGGGAAGGTGACACACACACACATACACACACACACACACACACACCGCCGTCCCTCCACATCCGTCCCTCCAGAACCTTCCACACCCTGCGACAATCCTCCACCACTCCTCCTCTTCCTCCTCCTCCTCCGCCCCCATGGAGCATGAAGGGCCGCCCGCAAATATCTTTTCATCTTCCATTTCACCTCACCCCTTCTTTTCCTTTCCACTCTGTCCCACTCTTATCGCACTCTTTCCCACTTTTAGGCTGTACCATATCCTGCTTAATGATCAGCGCACCTGCTGAGCCAGCCACGCCGGGTACGACTCGAGCTCCGGGTCGTACCCCAGCTTCAGCGCGTTGTTCCAGTCCGTGACACCGCTGCCGTACACGCCGTGCAGCAGCGCCGCCAGCCAGTCTGCCTGATGCAGCAGCAACGGCGACGGCGCCGCCGACCCCGCCGCCGCCGCGCCGCCGCCGGGCCCTGGCGTCGCCAGGCCGCGCTCCGCGGCGACGCGCCGCCAGCCGCCGCCGCCGCCACCGGCGGCGGCGCCGTCGTCAGTGCCGTACCACCAGGTCAGGAGCTTGCAGAGTGTGGAGGTGGGGGCCGTGGCCGTGTGGGCGGGGG